AAAAACAATGCCAGAGGCATCACAATACCAGATTTCAAGATATATATACTGAAGGGCAGTAATAATCAAAACAGCCTGGTAAAATAGATGGATAGACCAAAGGAACCAAATAAATGCCAGAAATCAACCCATGCATCTACAACCAATTTATCTTTGACAAAGGAGCTAAAATCAATCCTTGGAGCAAGGACAGTCTCTTCAACCTAATGGTGCTGAGAAAGCTGGATCTCCACATACAGAAACAGAAGACCCCTACCTTATATCTGACATAAAAATCCACTCAAAATGGATTAAAGACCTACATCATGACTGATACTATCAAATTATTAGAGAACTTTGGGGAAGCCCTGCAAGATACTGTCACAGGCAAACAGATCTTGTGAAAAATTCCAGAGGCACAGTCAATCAAAGCCAAAATAGACAAATGGGATTACATCAAATTGAAAAGCTTCTCACTGCAAAAGTAACACTCAGCAAGGTGAAGAGGCAGTGTGGGAGATATGATTTGCAAGAAATGCAATTGATAAAGGATTAATAACCAAAATATATAAAGAGATCAAGAAACTCAACAACAACAAAACAAACAACCCAGTTAAGAAATGGGCAAAGGACTTAAACGTTTAAAGGCATTTTTCAAAAGAGGAAATCCAAATGGCCAATATACACATAAAAAAGGCTCAAGATTATTAGCCACCAGGGAAATGCAAATCAAAACTGCAATGAGGTTTCATATAGAAATCAACAAACAAATGCTGGCAAGAGTGTGGGGAAAATGGTGCCCTAATCCTCTGTTGGTGAGAATGTAACTAGTATAACCACTGTGGTAGACAGTATGGAGATACCTCAAAAATCTGAATACAGACCTACCATATGACCCAGCCATCCCACTCCTGGGAATTCACCCAAGGGAAATGATAACAGCATATGAAAGAGTTATCTGTATGCCCATGTTTACTGCAGCTGAATAATGTCCATTAATGTCCATTAATTGAAGACTAAAGAAATTATGATATTATGCACACCATGGAATACTAACCAGAGGTAAAAAAAAAAAAAAATCCTGTCTTTCATAGCAAGATGGTCACAACTGGAAACCATTATACTTAGTGAAATAAGCCAGTCCAAAAAGACAAATACCATATGTTCTCCCTGATCTTTGGTAACTAATAGAGTTCCTAAAGTTCCTGATCTATAGAAGTGAAATTGACACTTTGAGATGCAATGACTTTGAACAGCCTTTGTCTTCACTGTTGAGGAACAACTTTTTTTTTTTCTTTCATACTATTTGTTGATATAATTTGTTGATTAACTCTCGGTATTGAGTTAATCATATGTGTATAAAGTTAACTGAAAATAGATCTTAGTAAAAAATAAGAATGGGAATAGGAGAGTGAGCAGGAAAAGGGGTAGTAGTGTGGGAGTGGTGAAAAGAATCACTATGTTCCTAAAGTTGTACTTATGAAATGCATGAATTTGTATTCCTTAAATAAAAGGTGTCTGGGGAAAAATATATTTCATAATAAAGCATCTAATAAAAACACATATACTTTAGCCTTGCTGCATCTACCAAGAGAATGAAAACTTTATCAGCAATCACACTGTCCATATTCCAGAATAGGAACAGCACAGTTTTTTGTTGTTGTTGTTGTTTTTGACAGGCAGAGTTAGACAGTGAGAAAGAGACGAGAGAAAGGTCTTCCTTCCGTTGGTTCACCTCCCAAATGGCTGCTACGCCCAGTGCGCTGCACTGATCTGAAGCCAGGAGCCAGGTGCTTCCTCCTGATTTCCCATGTGGGTGCAGGGCCCAAGGACTTGGGCCATCCTCCACTGCACTCCCGGGCCACAGCAGAGAGCTGGACTGGAAGAGGAGCAACCGGAACAGAACTGGTGCCCCCACCAGGACAAGAACCTGGGGTGCCGGCGCCGCAGGCAGAGGATTAGCCAAGTGAGCCGCAGCGCCGGCCAAGTAGCACAGTTATTGTGAAGGGTCTCAGAGAAACTTTCTGGAGGAACTTCAATGACAACAATGTAGAATTCAGCCTCCTCGGGAAAAAAAAAAGTCATCACTCCAAGTTCACAAATGGTGTGGAATAAAAAGGAATTGGCAACAATTTGCACTATCTGTAATGATGTACAGACTATGATGAAGGCGGTTACACTAGGCTTCCATTACAAGATGAAGTCTGTGTGTGTGTTCACTTCCCCATCAACGTTGCTATTCAGGAGAATGGGTCTCTTGTTGAAATCTGAAATTTCTAGGGTGAAAAGTTATGTCCGAAGGATTTGCATGAAACCAGGTATTGCTTGTTTAGAATCTCAAGCCCAGCCGGCAGCGCGGCTCACAAGGCTAATCCTCCACCTGCGGTGCCGGTACCCAGGGTTCTAGTCCCGGTTGGGGCACTGGGTTCTAGTCCCGGTTGGTACTCTTCCAGTCTAGCTCTCTGCTGTGGCCTGGGAAGGGTCCCTGCATCCGCATGGGAGACCAGGAGGAAGCACCTGGCTCCTGGCTTTGGATCAGTGCGGTGCACTGGCCGTAGCAGCCATTTGGGGGGTGAACCAACAGAAGGAAGACTCTTCTCTCTAACTCTGCCTGTCAAAAAAAAAAAAAAAAAATCTCAAGCCCACAAACATGACTTAGTCTTTGAAGGAAATGACAGTGAACTTGTTTCAAATTCAAATAAGAAAACTTTCTGGATGGTATCAGGCAATAAGAGTTTAAAAAAAGATAACAGAAAACTTTTGGATGGTATCTTTGTCTCTGAACAAGAAAAAGTTCAGAAGGTTGATGAAGAAGATCTAAAAGTCGTCTGGCTACAGAAACAAGAACCCAGATTATAATTTGTGGTATTTTAATAATGCAATGAAAGATCTATTGATTTAAAAAAATGCTTTACCAAAAAGTTCAATTCATAACACACACATACACACACACATATATAAAATGTATATAAACACATACACACACAGACTAAAAATAAAAAGTCTTCTTCCCCTTTTCCAGGGATAATTTAACACTGGGGTATACTTTCCACAAAATTCTGTCTCTATGGAGTATTGTTTTACAGTTTGTTTTCAATACAGTTTATTTTAAAAATTACCAGAAAAACATCTGCGAGATCTGACTCTGTCTCTTAATCCATTCCCAAGAGATCATGTGACAAATTCGCCTGTAAATTCATGACCACAACTTTCAAAAGCATGCTTCTGGTGCTATTCAGCATTTTCATTCCTGACTACCAGCTTGGTAGTTCACCCTCTTCCTCTCCTTGATGACTTACGGTGCTTTTTCTTTAGATTTAAAATACCTCTTTCCCCTTCCATCTTAACTAATGATCTTCCATTCTAGTTCACTGAGCAAAGAGAAGGAATCAAGAGAGGACCTACACAGATTTCTCATCACCCCATCTATCAACCTCCTATACCTGTATCAACATACCATCATCCCATCTAAAGTGAACCTCTCCATATGTGTTCCTGATCTCTACTCAAATATGCTGCTTTGGCAATTCTCCTTGCTCTTCTGCATCATCAAAAATTTCCCTCTTAATTATGCTAAGTGAAATAAACTAAGCAAAGAAAAATACTGAATGACCTCATTTACATGTGCAATAAAAAGAAGTGGAACTCAGAGCTGGCAGTGTGGTATAGCAGGTTTAAGCTTCCACCTGCAATGCCAGTATCCCATATGGGTGATGGTTTGAGACCAGCTTGCTCCACTTCTGATCCAGCACCCTGCTAATGTGCCTGGGTAAGGCAGCAGCAGATGATGCAAGCACTTGGGTCCCTGTACCTACAAGCAGGGGAAGAAGGGCTGGCCTCTGGTTTTGGCATGGCCCAGCCCCAGCTGTTGCAGCCATCTGGGGAGTGAACCAGGCAGGTGGAAGATCTGTCTCAGTGTGTGTGCCTCTCCTCCTCTCTCTTTAACTCTGCCTTTCAAATAAAAAACAACTAAGGTTGGCGCCGCGGCTCAGTAGGCTAATCCTCTGCCTGCGGCGCCGGCACACCAGGTTTTAGTCCTAGTTGGGGCGCGGGATTCTGTCCTGGTTGCCCCTCTTCCAGGCCAGCTCTCTGCTGTGGCCAGGGAGTGCAGTGGAGGATGGCCCAAGTGCTTGGGCCCTGCACCCCATGGGAGACCAGGAGAAGCACCTGGCTCTAGGGCTTCGGATCAGCATGGTGCGCCAGCCGCAGCGGCCATTGAGGGGTGAACCAACAGAAAAGGAAGACCTTTCTCTCTGTCCACTCTGTTAAAAAAAAAAAAAAAAAAAAAAAAAAGCTAAATATATAAATAATTCTTTAGGAAAAAAAAGTGGCACTCACAGAAGCAGAGAACAGAATGGTAGTTGCCCGGGATTAGGGAGTAGAAAGGAGGGAAGTGAATAGATGTTAGTCAAAGGGAACAAGGTTTCAATTAGAAGAAATGAGTAAAATTTTGGAGATCTATTGTACAGTACAGCGACTACAGTTAATAAGTAATTTATTGTACATTTAAAATCTACTAAGAGATTAGGTATAAAATGTCCCCACCACAAAAAAAAAATATGGTGAGGTGACAGATATTAGTACAATATACTTGTACCACAATGTCAACATATCAAAATAGTATTTTTGTATACCATAAAGCACACAATTCTTAAAATTTATTCATTTCAGAGACAGGAATAGAGAGAAATCTTTATCCACTGGCTCAGTCCCCAAATGCCTACCACAGCTGGGACTGGCCAGACCACGCTGGTAGTCAGGAACCTAATCATCTCCCAGATGGGAAGGAGGGACCCAATCATCTGAGCTACTACTGTCTCCCAGGGTGGACATCAGCAGGGAGCTGAAATTCAGAGTGGAGCTGGGACTCAAAACAAGGCACTTGACATGGGATGCAGGGATCTCAGGACGCATCTTACCACTATACCAAATGGTGCTCACCCCAATATATACAATTTTGTCAATTACACTTTCATTCAGTGGGCTGAGAGGAGACAAAAATGAAATGTGTATTATATTACCTGAGTGAATGAGTCAACTGAGGATACAGCAGCATTGCCTACTGGAGTCTGCTGAGCCAAACTGTCCAACAGTTCCACTGAAATTCCAATCTGAGCAACAGACGGAGTCCGGACAATATTCATGGTTCCAAAGGGGTGCTGGCTTCCTTCTCCTGAAAGAAATTAGTCCATGCCATATTTTAACTTGCATTCTTATAAATTCCTTTCTAAATATGTGAAGAATTTCTGATCTACACACTCACACATACACTAAGAAGTTTTAGTATGTGCAACTTTTCAGATAAATGCAAAAGTTCTCAGCATGTTAAAAAAAGAACTAGGTTTTACTTTCTTAAAATTTATTAAAAATGACCTACAGCTAGCTACAGTCAGCAACAGAATGAGAATTACATAAGACTCTACAGCTAACTCTGAAGGATGCTTTAAGATCTTCAGAATTAGCTTTAACATTCTGATTACTAAAGGAAGATCATTAAATTCCCATGATTACCGTAAGTAACATGGCATATTTTACTGTCAATGAGCTTTCAACACCTGATAATCCATTATCAAACAGGCAACAAAGAAATCTGAGATTGGGGATGGGTATAGACTAGTGGTTAATACGCATATGCCCAATATCAGAACATATAGGCTCAATACCCACTTCTAGCTCCTAACTTCAACTTCCTGTTAATTCAGACCTTGGGAGGAAGTAATAATGGCTCAACTAATTGTGTTCCTGCCACCCACTTGGAAGACCTGGACTGTGTTCCTGGCATTTAGCTTCAGCCCACAGATCTCCCTTTGCAAGCCTTTGTGGAGCAGACTAGTTGACAGAGGAGCTCTTTCTCTACCTTTCAAATTAAAAAATAATAAAAATTTTAAAAATAAGTTCACAGCATATTCATGAAAAAATTTAATAACTTTTACCTTTTATACAAAAGTATATTAAGCACAGACCTAGGCTACCACTAAATTATACATGGGAAATTATACATGGGAAATACAGGTCAGTTTTACTAATTCACAGAGACATAATAAGACTGATGATGGAAAAAAATTATGATGAATAGATTTTTGTGTTATCTGTTCTGATAATAAAATATTTAATCAAATACCAATAAACAAAACTCTGGGACAATACAGATTTCTACTAACAACATTCACTGCAAGTATCAAAACATTTTTAAAATTTTGAAGTATATTAACAAAAACAAATGTTTTTGCTATGCCTTAAAAATATACATATAGGGGCCAGCAGTGTGGCATAACGGGTAAAGCTGTCACCTGCAGTGCCAGCATCCCATATGGGTGCCAGTTCAAGTCCCAGCTGCTCCACTTCCAATCCAGCTCTCTGCTACGGCCTGGGAAAGCAGTAGAAGATGGCCCAAGTCCTTGGGCCCCTGCACACGCATGGGAGACCTGGAAGAAGCTCCTGGCTTCTGGCTTCGGACTGGCGTGGCTCCAGCCATCATGGCCAACTGGGGAGTGAACCAGTGGATGGAAGACCTCTATCTCTGCCTCTCCTTCTCTCTCTGTGTAACTCTTTCAAATAAATAAATCCTTAAAAAAAATACACAGATAGGGACAACACTGAGGGTCTGGTGGCCCTACTTCCCATCCAGCTTCAGATTAATGCATCTTAGAAGTCAGCAGCGGATGGCAGCCCAAGTGCTTGGGCCTCTGCCACCGACGTGGGAAAGCAGGTTGGAGTTCCTGGCTCAGCCCTGGCTGTAGCAGCCATTCGTGGAGTGAAACAGAAGGAAGGTCTCTCTCCCTTTCTATCTGACACTCTTTCATATAAGTAAATGAATCTAAAAAAGCTTTTTTTAAACAAACTTATACATATCCCTTATTAAACAATTTAGCTTTCAATATTTTAAAATTATTTTAATCTCCACATTTTTCCACTTTCCTTCTGATACTCCTAATTTAATATTTTGTATGATTTCAATCATTTTAAATATAGACACTCATTTATATACAGTCTCTTTAGGAAAACATTCCACAATTATTTGGGAACAATATGTATTCTATAACTACTGAGTGAAATGTTCTGTATACATCTGCTAGATCTAGTTGCTTAAGTACTGTTCAAACCTGCTATTTCCTTGATGATATTGTATCTAGTCAGTCTATCCATTTATTGAAAATAGAGAATTGGAACTCTGCATTTCTCCCCACCAATTCTGTCAGTTCGTGTGTCACATATTTTAAGGTTCTGCTGTTAGGCACAAAAATGTGTGTAAGTTATCTTTCTTGACAGATTGATCTTTTGATCATCATATAATGCCCATCTTGGACTCTTAATTTTTGCCTTTAGTCTATTTTGGTTGGCTTTAATATAGCCACTGTTAAGACTAGCCACTCCATTTCTCTCTTGATTACTTTCATACACACAAAATATATATATATACACATATATATACACATATATAAATACATATCTGTGAATCTTGTAAGAGCATATAGTTGGATCATATTTTTAATATATCCTGTCAATCAATGCACTGTAAATGGAGTTTAATTTTTCTGTTAAATAGACATTTGCTAGTAAACCATTTAAATGCCTTGTCATTTCTTTTCATTATTTATTCATTAAAAGATTTATTTATTTATTTGAAAGTCAGAGTTACACAGAGAGAGGAGAGGCAGAGAGAGAGAGAGGAGAGGAGAGGAGAGGAGAGAAAGAGGTCTTCCATCCGCTGGTTCACTCCCCAATAGGCCACAACGGTCAGAGCTGTGCCAATCCAAAGCCAGGAGCTTCTTCCGAGTTTCTCAAGCGTGTGCAGAAGCCCAAGGACTTGGGCCATCTTCCATTGCTTTCCCAGGCCATAGCAGAGAGCTGGATCCAAAGCAGAGCAGCCAGGACTCAAACCGGCGCCCAAATGGGATGCCGGCACTGCAGGTGGGGGGCTTTACCCAATATGCCATAGCACTGGCCCCTCATTATTTATTATTTTGCTAGTATTGCACTGAGAATAACATTTAACAATTTATACAAGTCCAGTTTGAACCAATACCTAATTTCAATGGTATACAAAAACTCTGTTCTTACATAATTTCTCCCTGTTAGTCACAAATTTCATCTTTACACACTGTACCCATCCATATAGATTTAAAATGTCTTATTAAACTTTTAGGATGGAATAAAAGAAGCTACAAACAAAATGTATATTAAAATATTAACATTTATATTTACTAATATATTTATCACTGTGGTATTATTTCTTCATATGATTTTAATTACTCTCTTTTATTCTCTCATTTCAATCTGAAGGACTCCCTTTAGCATTTCCTACAGGGCAGATCTGCCAGTTTTTGTCTATCTGGGAGTGTTTTAATTTCTGAAAAATAGTTTTATTGGATATGGAAGTCTTGGTTCAGAGGTTTTTTTTTTTTCAGAACTTTGAATATACTTAGATTTCTAGGCTCTATAATCTCTGAGGACAAAATAACTACAAAATTATCCTTTTATGCCATGTGTTACTTCTCTTGATGCTTTTAAGATTCTCTCTTTAGTGATCTGATTATATCCTGATGTGAAGTTTATCCTACTTGGAATATGTAGAACTTCTTAAATATGCAGATTAATGAGTTTTTTACATTAAATTTGGGGAGTTTCTAGGCATTGGTTTTTTAAATGTCTTATACTTGTTTGGGCTGCTGTAATAAAATACCAAAAAATGGGTGGTTTATTAACACTAGAAATTTATTTCTCAGTTTGGAGGCTTTGAAGTCCAAGATCATGACACTGGCAGATTTGGTGTCTGATGAAGATTTATGTTCTGGTTCACAGACAGCACCCTCTTGCTGTATCCAAGAGCAAGGGATATCATGCTTTTATGAAAAGGCACTAATCTCATTTACAAGTGCTCTTCCCCATGACTAGTCATTAAAGCTGCATCTACTAACATAAAAATTTTAGGGAGGTACAAATATTCAAGCCACAGAGAATATTCTTTACCCCTCTTCTCTTGGTCCTCTCTATGACTTTATACTGTGTATGCTGTATCTGTGTATGATGTACGCTGTGTATGATGGTGTCTCTCAGGTCTCTGTGTTCTGTTCATTTTTCTTCATTCTTTTTTCCTCCCAAATGATATTTCAATTAAGTTATATTCGAGTTCACTAGTTATTCTGCCTCATTGGATCTGACAGTTAAACCCACTAGTTAACAACCTTTCATTTCAGTTACTACATTTTCCATATCCAGAAGGTTTTCTTCTATTTAATAACTTCTATATTGATATTCTCTATTTGACTATATATCATTCTTTTGGTTTCCTTTAGCTCTTTGAGCATATTTAAAAGTTTACTTAACATTTTTGTTTAGTAAGTCTAATGTTTGTGGCTCCTTGGGGATAGTTTAAATACTTCTGCGTATGGGCCTTACTTGGTTTCTCTCTGTCTCGTTTTTTATAGAAAACTGGAGATTTTGAATTTTATAATGTGGAAACTATAGAAATCAAAAGGTTCCTGCTTCTCAGTTTTTGTTAATGGCCTTTTTGTAGTTGTTTCCTTAATGACTTTTCTGAATTAATTCTGTAAAATTCGTTCTTTGCTATGTGGGCCACTGAAAACTCTGTTCTATGAGTTTAGCGATCAGTTAGTAATTGAAGAAAGCACCACATCAGCAACCAGAAGTCTCCCAGACTTTGCAGATGGGCTTTCTGGGTTGGGACATGTCTTCAACACTCAGCCATCATAGCTTTCCCTCCTTCCTGTATAGAGCATTAAAGTTAAACACAGGGGAGTGCTTAGGACATTCCTAGGCCTCTCCTTAATAAGCATGTGCAGATCTCTGGTGCATATGCTTTTCCAGAATCCCAGAAATAGGTCAGAAAACTCAAAGCCCTTATTCCTCAAAGTATGTCACCTCCAGACTTCCCTTGCAAGTTCTCTAGTTAGTCTATTGTTTTCTCCCCAACAGTTGTCCTTTGCCTCAATCAACAGTGATTAGTAGTATCAGGGTACTTCAAAAAGTTTATGGAAAAATGAAACTAATTTAGGTACCAAATTTTTTTTAAATCCATGCATACTTTTTTATTAAATGCATTTTCCCAGAACTTTCAAAAGATTCCTTATGTGCATGGATTTAAAAAATGTTTTGCACCAAAATAAAAATATTTTTAATTCCACTTTCCAGAATCTTTTTGATGTACCTTAG